GCTGCTCCGACCACCCACTCAGCATCCCCGGGAGCTCGGCCTCTCGGGGCTCCCGGGAAGGAGGGGAGAGGAGATGGGCCCCCACCCAGACTCGCACGGGATTGGTGCCGGGAGGGAGCGGGACGGCGCACACTAAACTGTGAGCGGGTCCCGGGTCGTTTTGTTTGTCGCGCTCTGGGCTAACCTCTCTCCCGGGGTTTTCCTTGCTCCCGGTTAGACGTGGGCTGGCAACACCTCCACCTTCACCGCTAGAGCTGGGGGTGGCCCCTGCGCTGGGCTTCCCGCGTCGTGGCGGGCAGGGAGGGAAGCTGTCTCCTGATCCACACTTGGGGTCCCCCGGGCTCATATGCTGGGGGCTTGAGGCCTGTGGAAGGGGGAGAGCCCAGAGGTACCAGTGGGCACAAGCTTTGATTCGGAGCCACTCTGGTCCTCGCCCTCTGCCAGTCTGGGGCTCCCAAGAGAGCCACCCCCACCTGCCAGGAAGCAGAGGATGGTGTGGGGCAGACCTGCTGCCTCCTGGAAAGCGGCCAGGGTGGCTGGAACGTGGTCTCTTTCACGGGGAGTCAGAGGTGGAAGAAGGAAGACATCTCACTGCTTTCATCCAGCTTCTGGGGTTCTTTACCTTCCCAACCAGCGGCCCAGCCACAAACCCCTGGCTTTTCTGCAGAGCAACCTGACCCAGCGACCAAGTGCCTCTTACAGCCAGGCTCGGGGCCCTGCCTGGGAGGGTGGCAGTGTGGGAGGAGGTGGAGGGTTGTGTCCTCTGGTGGCTCAGCCCCATTGGGGAAGATAAGGCAGAAACCAGTGTGCTGATACGGGACTTCCATACCAGCCCCGGACTAGTAATGACAGTGTAAATGCTAAGAGGCCACACACGATTCATTGCTAACTGAGTGACAGGCTGCTTCAGGGAGGAGATGGGGGCGGGAATCCAGTTCTCTTGCAATCATGCAAGTTACGCTTAAAACATTCTGGCCCCATACCCATCCTTCCTACTTACCTGCTAGTAATGAGGCCCTCCCCAGCCCTCACAGGGACAGGGGCAGCAGGAGGGCTCAGGCATCCCCTTCATATGCATATGTTCCTCCATCCCCCTCCCACGTGTTTTTTCCCCCTGCTGGTAGATTTCTGAAGAAACTCTTTGGACTTCTGGGGTCAGGCTGAGCACCGGCCTCTCCCAGCTGCCCTGGGACCTTTGAGGTTTGGGGTCTAGATCCAGCCTTATTGGAGGTTCAGGGGCCAGCCGGGAGGAAGTCCTCACTTCCTTTCTTAAGAGCCTCTATTGCTGGGGGCTGGGGATGAGGTGGGAGGAGGCCCTGAACCAGACACTGTTTCCTGTGAGTGCAGACAGGCACTCTATTACTGGCCATGGGTGCTGGGGTTGGGGTGTTGGAGGTGGGTGGGCTGGGCAGGGCTGGCTTGAGGTGGGAGGTACCCGGGGCAGCGCTGACCTCACGTCTGAGGTTCTGTTGTGTCTGGGGCTCTGCCCTCCCCCAACATCCCTGGCACGTTTCTGCTTTTCTGGAAGACTTTGCGGAGGTGGCAGTGTGCTTGTGCCCGCAGCCTTGGGCGCTGTTGTAGGAGTGGGAGTTGCTGAGCTCACCCCGCAGCCTTGGCCAGCACGGTGAGCACTAGGGTGAACATGCCCACCCACTCCGAACAGGTGGCACACGCAGGGTCACTCGGGCACAGGTGGGGAATGCTGTGTGAGCAGAGATGTATGTGTATGCAGGTTTGTAGTGCGTGGGCAGACAGACACTGGATAGAGACATGACGACAGACAGGAAGACGATGGAGGTGGGCAAGATGTGTATAGGGGCAGACAGTGTGAACACAGAAACATGGGCCACAGATCCTACGTAGACAGATCTGCTCCTTCACTGGGATTTGCACCCCCCCCCCCAATACACACACATGGGAGGCACATGTGTAAGTGTGCAGACATTTGGGCTACCCACATGGATGTGAGCTGACATTCATGGGCACAAGACATGGCTGAAGCCACATAGAAGTGGCTTGAGTACCTGGGCAGACATGGAGGTGGCTATGGGCTCCGTGGGGAGACAGACACCTGTACCTGCTGAGTCACCTGACAGCAGAGGCCAGGACCCCACAGAGGTGGGTACTGAGATGCAGACTGAGGTGGGGACCGCTCAGTTGTCCCGTGACCCCATGTGGCAGCAATGTTCGGAACTGGTCCTGCTTGGGGTGATGGTGCAGGTGCTTTGTGGGGTGGCTTCATCTCTAGATCCCCACTCGGATTTGAAGACCCCAGAGGGTTCAGTATTCCCTGTCTGGCTCTGAGAATCATTTGACCTAGTAACAGGGCTGGGTGCATACCTTAGCATGAGCAGGGCTCCCTGAACCTTTGAGTCTCATCTTTCCTGAGTCTCCAGAAGAGAGGCTGTGTCCTGGGCCTGCGGGGGGGTGGGGGGGTGGGGCGACAGGGATCTGAATGGGGACTCTCCTTCTGAGCCCAAGCTGAGGGTGCCTGGCATGGAAGGGACCATCCTGGTAGGGAGAGAGTGTAGCCATGCTTAGGGTCCTTGATGAAACCGTTGTTCTCCCATGTGGACTGCACCTCCCTGGGCTCGGGCAGGGAGGGGGCCTCCTACCTCTGGCTCCCATCTGCCCACCCTGGAGACTGGGAGCCAGCCCAGAGTCCAGATACAGCTTGACATGAACTCGCTGTATGACCCTGGGCAAATTACTTAATGTCTTAAATAACTCACTTAAAATGAAACTCGTTATTAAAAAGTGGGGCCAGTGACCCAGCCCTTGGGGGTGCTGTGAGGGTTAAATGGCAGACAACCTGGGGAACGCATGTGGTCCAGGGTCTGGCACCGCGTCTCAGTCAGTGGAGCTTTGATGGTGAGCCTGGGCCAGGACTGCAGAGCTGCCCCAGCAGTCAGGTGCCCGGCCCTGGGAAGGCTGGGCATGCAGGCACTGCTTGTTGGAAAGCTGCAGGGCTTTGTCCTCACCCCGGCCCACCAGCCACTCCTGAGCTCTGCGGGACCTCCACGCAGGGTCGGGAAATGGCAGACAGGGCCTGCTGCCTTCTGGGCCTCCGGGAGGGGAGCCAGTGGTTTGCTAAGAATATCCCCAAATCATGGCTCTGCCTCCCAGTGGGCAGCCGCGCACCTCCCTGGTCCGGGGCCAAGGAACTTGCAGATGGGCCTTTTATGTTTCCTGTAACTGGCACTCAGAATGGGGATGGGCCTGGAAGCGGCAGGCTCGGTTCGGGGGGACGGGGGTGGCATTGCTGCTCTCCCCAGGGCTTTGGCTGGAACTGAGGAGAGAAGGTTCCTCTTCCACTAAGAACTTGTCCTGACAACGACCCCCCCCGCCCCACCCCCCCGAGCCT